CAACTCCCAGAATTCCCCAGCCAGAATTCTGGGAGTTGAAGTCCACCCATCTTAAAGTTGCCAAGGTTGAGAAACACCAGATTACCCTGTCAGTGTGCCTCTTCTTTTTCAGGTCATTGGTGGCTTCTTCCTGGTGCGCTTCCTCAGTGTTCGGCTATCGGATCGGATCATCTTGCTCCTAGGTCTGGTCATCTGCAACATAGCCTGTATCTGGTGCCTGCTGTTCCTGACCCACCCCCAAGGTACTGATGTTGGACTACTGGAGAACAGCATGAAGGTGTCTTTACTCCATCTCCTCCATTCCTGACCTACTGATTTCATAGAGACATAGAGTTATAAGGACTGGTTGAAGTCTTGTAGTCCAACCCTCTGTTCATTGTAGGATCCTCTAACATCTCTGACAGATGGCTGTCCAGAGTCTGCTTGAAGCCTCTAGAGGAAAACTTGCTATGTCATGAGGCAGCCTTTCTGCTTAATAGCTCATACCATTAGGAGGTTTCTCCTGATGTCTAGCCTGAACCTCCTTCCTTGTAATTTTAACCCACTGTTCTAGCCTTGCCCTCTGGGGCAATAAAAAATAAGTCCACTCTTTTGTCTCTGTGACCACCTTTCAAATATTTGAAGACTGCTATCATATCTCTGTGGAGTTGCCTCTCCTAGTGGGTAAACATACCCAGATTCTTTAACTATTCTCTGTGGGGCTTGGTTTCCAGACCACTCACTGTCTTTGTAGCCCTCCTCTGAACGTGCTCCAATTTATTACTGTTCTTTTGAATTGTGGTGCCCAGAACCTGATCCAGAATTCCACAAAAGGTTTGATCAGGGCAGAATAGACAATTTCTCAGTTCTCGATTACTCTATCTTCCTGTTAATATCTCCCAAGATAACGTTTATACCTCTAACAGCTGCATCACATCTCACTACTGGCTGGTGATTTACTTCTTCCATCTTGGATGCAGCCACCTCATGTTTTATAATCTCTTCAACAAGAGCAGCTCTCATAAAATCCTTGTCCTGCAGTAGAGGAATTTGGCAGGTGGTATAAACTGGGTGATGGTCAGATCTTGCTGGGCCAAGGGAAGGGACCTGGAATGTTTTCACATCTGTAATCCACCTTTAGCCCAAATAGGCTTTGGAAGGTTTGCTTATCCTTTTCTCCTCTCCATATATTTGCATGGATCATGATGAGGACCAGGAGCAGATCCTGGGCTACCAGTGATCTAGCTTAGCTTTCCCAGGATGGCCAAGTTGGAGGTGTCCAGTTGAGGAAGCTGGTTTTAAGCCAGGTATAATTATTCTGGGGAAGACTGCTATGATCTTTCTTCATACCTTGTTTTGCATGTCTCTGTCCCCCACACAGGTACCATTGCTGTCCTCCTCATGGAGCTGGTAGTAGGGGTCTTCTTGCAGGTCTTGGGTCTGCCCTTTGTCGCTGTTTCCCAAGTGTCGCTCTTTTCTAAGGTCACAGCTGAGAGAACACAAGGTAAACCTACCCTGCTCCTGATTCCAGCTTTCCCCAATCTGCCATTCCTCTGGGAAATGTTGGGATTGCTATTCCCAACCTGGCTCCAGATTTCGGAAAGTTGCCTTGATCCGTTTCTTGGAGTGTTTTGTTGCCACAAAGCCAGAATAGACTATAGAATTGCAGGGCTCAAAATGTTTTGAACTCAAGCGCTTGTTGAGTTTGAAATGCTCCATTGGGAATGTCAAGCAATTGTTTGAAACGTGTCTGCCTTATTTTAGGCTGTTTTTGTCATTTTGGAGGTCTTTCAAACTCAAAACAGACTTCCCAAATGATTAAAATAGCCTCTTTCACACTCAGAGCAGGGTGTTCTGAACTTGAGGTGGCCCGTGTTCAAACATTTTGTACATCTGTAATATAAAGTGTTGGACTGAAATTGGGGTGAGTTTGAATATCTTGACCAGTTGCTGCTTTCTAGAATTTGTATATACAGAGCCAACTTGCAGTTGTGAGAGCCAGTTTGGTGTAGTGGTTAAGGCACCAGTCTAGAAAGTGGGAAACTGTAGGTTCTAGCCCTGCCTTAGGCACCAAGCCAGCTGGGTGACCTTGGGCCAGTCACTCTCTCTCAGCCCTAGGAAGGAGGCAATGGGAAGCCACTTCTGAAAAATCTTGCCAAGAAAACTGCAGAGACTAGTCCAGGCAGTTGCCAGGAGTCAAGACTGACTTGAAAGCACGCTTGCATGTACACGCACGCACACACACACACACAAAACTTGAAGATGTGCAGAGCAAATGTATATGAAGTATCTGCTCTCCCACTGAATCTCAGAAAAAGGGCCATCTTTCCTTCTTTTATTTATTTTAAAAAATAAATACATTTTAAAAATTGTATAGCCACCCATCTTATGCAACATAAGCCCAGGAGACTCCCAAACAACATTAAAACAATAAAAAACAGTAAAACAACAACACAGAAACTTCCGGTGCTCCCAGCCACAACACAGCCCCACACAACCCCAAGGAACTTTTCTGGGCTCCAGCCTCACACTGTCCCAATGGTTGTGGGAAAAACAGGTTATTAAAGCTTTCCGGAAGGGTAGGGGCGTAGGGGCTGGCCGGATCTCAGGGTGAAGGGTGTTCCCTTGCATTCACATCCGTGCAGGAGACACTTCTTGCATTCCATCTGTTGAGGAAATGCATTAGGTATGTACTAAAGCTAGAGACTTTAGTGGTGGTGCCTCTCCTATAAAGGAAGAGCATTTGGCAGCAACACTGTGCTTCTTTCATGCTGGCTGGGGAATTCTGGGAGTTGAAGTCCACATACCTTAAAGTTGCCAAGGTTGAGAAACACTGCTGTAACCTTACAATAAAAGTAGTGTTAGAACTCATGGTTGGTGCTTCTTGGCTGGACTACCTTGAAAGGGTGACATCAGTTTTGCAAGTCTGAAAGCATTTCTCCCCTCCTTTCCTTTTTCTCTCCAGAAAACTAGGGAGGGTCCCTTCTGAGATGCTTCCCGTGCCTCTTTTCCTTCTGGGGGCTAAGACACCTTTTGCATGACAGTTGTCTAGCCTGCAGCTCTTCTTCCTGTCTCCCAGGGTCATTCCCACCTTACCATTACACCCATTGACACAGCCCACTGAACCAGATCATTTTAAGATCCGAACAGCTGTATTCAGACAACGTGCTAACTTTATTTAGGGCTAATCTTTTTAGATGTTTTGTGGGTTTGATAAGGTGTGTGAACTCAGGCCATTCCATTTGTTTATGGTTCAGTATATTATGTGAATGTATAAAATGGGATTATATTCCCCAACCAGCTCCAGTGTATTGTGCAAACACGGCCACTGGGGATACATTTTTGTGTCTCTCTCTTGAAATTATTGTTCGAAGCTTTATTTTTTTAATGGCGTAGCCTTATATTTTTCATATCATCCCTTGAAACCAATTGTGTTTTTTATCCCTACCGATTCTCATTCAATCTGACAACTGAAAATTTCTTTCAGAGGACAAGAGAACGTGAGTGAAGCTCTCTTGGGTGGGGGGTGATATTCTTAGACTTGCAATGTGGCCAAGGGGTGTGTGTGATCATCCTGTCTTTCAGGGTGCAATACTCTCTCTCCAGAGGTCTGCAATTCCCATGCTTTTATTATATCCCAAGGAAAGGCCTTGGAAAGGAACTCTTTCTATGGGGTTCTTGATGATGGGAAAGTCAGGCAGCCAGCGATCAATTCAGTCACCACCAAGAGAAGTTCAGTTGACACTTTCCTGTATCCCAAAAGATAAGGCAGAAAAACAGATACCTCTTTCACAGGAAAAGAAAACTTCTGAGAAATGGCAAGGCACATCTCAGCACAGTTTTAGTTTACACTCATATTATTCCATTCCCCTCCTTGAAAGGATTCTTGAGTGCTTTTAGATGGAGACTCCTAGCCTTACCAGTCAAAAGATAGCAACACGATTCCCACATTGCACCAAGACATCGTTTGATTTATTTAGTTTTAGCATGTTGTGTGAACCTACCTGGTACGATATGGTTCAGTTTTATATGCAAACCTAGTCTTATATGTATTCTTTAAAAAAATAGAATTCCTCTCCTGGAGTGGCTATTGCAGGACAAAGTGTCTTGTTTCCAATTTGATTTCAGTTTCCCTGTGCCCGGCTTCTTTTTCTGACCTGGTAGTATCTACCCAGATCATATTACTGCCAGGCGGTGCCCTCCTGAACTTCTGTTTGAAGAGCTGAGCTTTTGGTAATGTTTCCTTGCCAGATTTAATGCTCTCGCAGCGAAACACAGTTCTGCAAAATCACTTCCAAGGCAGATATTTCTGGCCTGCCCTCCATCTAACCGTGTAGCTGAACAGAAATGGTAGGGCTGGTTTTGCAAGCGCTGTGGGAAGTGAGTAAGTAGGCTTGCTCATAGTACAGTGGACTTGAAGATGTAGGAAGGTTTCGATCAAAAACAACCCATTGAGTTCCAAATTGTAGCTCTTATTAAAGCTGAAGATCAGTGGGAGGTGGGTGCAATTATCCGTGCACGGAAAGAAACAAAAAAATGTTCAAAACACAGAAATAAGCAACTAGCCAACTCAGATTGTTTTGGATTATTCAGAGAAGATCCTTTTGCTGTTGTTGCAGCAATGAATCATGCAGAATTCTATTCTCAGTTTAATTTTTTCCCCCAACTACTGGAGAATCCTTCTGCTTGTACTGCAACGGGATTTCTTTTAAAACTTCTATCAGCTTGTGACTGCAGTCTGAAATGGCATAAGCCACGTTTTCCCAAGGTTTGGCTGAGGATTATGGGCACCTACAGCCCAACCCACCTGGAAAGAAAAGCTGGTAAGGACTGTGTCCAAATTGACCACTTCAGGAAGAGATCATCCCCTTAACATGTAGGTAATATTTATGGGAACTGTTCAGTCCTAAGATTTCCCTGACTTGTATTTTGAAATGGCACCATCCTTGATGCAAATAAATAAATAAATGGAGGAGGGAGAAACAATACGCCATGCCGAATGTGTAAAAATTGCCTAGGGCAATTCACTGATCCCTACAGAGGAAAGCTTAGAACTGCTACCGTAATTTAAATAGGAATGCAACAGGCATCTCTGGATAGATTCTGACATGGCTGGCTGGGGAATTCTGGGAGTTGAAGTCCACCCATCTTAAAGTTGCCAAGGTTGAGAAACCCTGCCCTAGCGGGTCTTCTTATCTCTTGGGCCCAGTGATTCACTCATGCTGTGGTCCATTCACTGCTGCTGTGGTTCGGTTTATTGCATCAGCAGCGATAAACTGGACTAGATAGCTTTCAAATAAATGGCTAGCTGTTCTCTCTAAGGACATGTGGCCATTTGACAGAGCCAGAATTACTGCTTCCTTGATGGGCCAAACAATGTTAGCTAGGCTACCAGAAATGTTCATTCTTGATCAAGGAAGCTGTATTTTCCCACCTGCCCACTACTTTCTTCCTGCTGAGCTCTTTTAAGGCAACCTTCCTCATTTTTTTTCAAGGAGGGCCAACCTTGCATGGAACACACCCATGCAGTGGAGCATTTTAGGCTCACTTTCTATATCACTGGCCTCCTTCCAAACGGGTTGGATGTCAACCCTGCTTGGGAATTGTAGAAACTGGCATCCAATCTCCTTGGAGGGCAACAGATAGGGGAGGAAGGCTCTAGGTTAGTGTTTTTCAAACTTGGCAACTTTAAGATGGGTGGACTTCAATTCTGGCTGGGGAATTCTGGGAGTTGAAGTCCACCTATCTTAAAGTTGCCAAGGTTGAGAAACACTGCTCTATGCTAACTTTAGGCTACACTGTTGTAAGGTAGGGTTTCAGTGGAAGATGTTTCATGGATGAAGAAGTAATGGATGACACTTGCTGGTGCTTTCATGAAAAGTCCAGTTGCAGACAGCCTCCAGATTGGTGTAAGAGTCTTAATATGCTTAGTTTGCTTCCGGGTCCAATTCAAGGTGTTGGTTATCACCTTTAGCGCCCTACATGGCAGGGGGCCGGGCTACCTGAAGGACCGCCTCGCCCCCATGATCTCAGCCCGTCCCACCCGATCTCACAGAGAGGGCATGCTTC